AGGAAGGAAGGAAGGAAGGAAGGAAGGAAGGAAGGAAGGAAGGAAGGAAGGAAGGAAGGAAGGAAGGATTTCTGTTCCTGACTTCCAGTTCAAAAGTTTTTATCCATGCATGAATAAATATATATTCCAAAGTAAATAGAAAATTATATACAAACCTCTCTTAAGCTCATCTTTTCAAGGCAGTTATCAGGTCTTCCTTATCTTCTCTTTTCTGAACACATAATTCTTTTGGAAAATGCTCCATTGATAGCTCAGCCCAAGAGAAAATTGATCTTTCATCAACTGCATAAAAATATCTTCTTCCATCAAATGTTTTAATCTGTGTGCATGCATGGGAGTGAAAGACATGCCAATTGTGTCTGATGAAGCAATCAGTTATAATCCTTTGCCAACTCTGCCTGTGGTTTTCAGTGGAGATTGCTGGAAAGTGATTTTCTCCCGGTCTCCATATGAGCAAAGACAGGTGCCCTGGCATTGTCCGAACATCTGTGTAGAGGAAAATAAATATCCTGTTCAGTAAGGTATGGAGTAAATCTTGATCAAGCCCGAAGGGATGAGGAGAAACATTACATGGCCCATCCATAGCAAGAAAGTGGTGAGCTATAGGCCTCTCCTGCTTCCTAGCTGGCGATCAGAAGCATTGCCAGATTGGTACCCAGATTGAAATACTGGTCTACAACGCCTTGCCATCTCCATTAAGCATAGTTTGAGCGTGTTGGCTGGGGACGACAAGAACTGTGATGGTGATGATAATTTACAATTATTTATTGTCCTTTTCCACCCCAGTAACAGAAGATCAGCACATCTGGAAGCCACCAGAACAGGAGAAGGCTGTTACTTGTTAATGGATGGTTCCCAGGAGGAAGGAAGGCGGAGAGAAGTGGAAAGCATGTTTGGTGAATTAGCAAGCATTAACAAGAGGTGGATCTGATCAGGGAAATTAAAATGTCATTAGGCTGTGGCTTCGTCCTGTCAGCCTCTTGTAGGGAGAGAATTTCTGTGGGTGGTTCCAATTAAAAGATATGTGAGAAAGTTGTACTACTCTGGCAGAACAATATTCTGCAACAAAACAATATCACTTTGGTGCTTTTCTGAGGCAAGAAAAAGTGGGATGACGCCAGGCAACCTTGAAACTCAGTTCTCTTTTAAAAAAAAGCTTTCATGAACTGGAGCTTTTCATAAAATTTGCTAGTCAGAAAAGATGCTACCAGATGACTTTGGAACACGGCCGTAGACTAACATGGCTCTCTTACCATTTTTTTTTTTTTTAATGGGAACTGATGCCGTTTAAAGCCAGTTGAGCCATGGTTTGAAAGAGGGAAAACTGGTAAGGAGTTACTGCTGCTGTGACTTCCTGATTGAAAAGCTGTGCTACAAGAAGATTTTATAGAGGCCTATTCAATAGTAAGGTCCATTCTGTTTGACAGGGCTTTAATGCACTTGCCGTTAAAATGAGTTTTTCTACTCTTTAGTTTCTTAATAGACATTTAGAAGGTTCAGTTATGATTCCTGAGACTTTACAATGGTGATACGTGGGGTTTGCCCGCTTCAACGTGGACCCTTGGAATATGAAGTGTTGACATAAAAGAGGCCTTGCATGGATGCGCTGGGGAGACAAGGTGCCCCGCTTTTAAAATTGCCTTTCTAGCAGTGAGTTAAAGAGCATCCTGTCGTTCTTGCTCCTTCTCTGCCCACCAAAACATTTTTGCCCACCAGTGAATTTTTGGCCACTTAAGTAGATATCTTCGAATGCATTCTACATGATACATCTGTCCAACATTTATGTAACTGAGTTGATTAATAAAAGTTCACACAACCTGCCTGTTTGAATGTATCTGCCATTGGGCAAAAACGTTTTGGACATGAAATTTTGTCACTAATGGCAGTAAAGATAAGCAAGATAATTTTTTCCAATGTTTTATCTCCTTTTCAGGAAAACCTTCACCTGATGAATTTCTGCTTATCAGGCTGTTGTTAAAGGCACAGGAGCCAATACACTCGAGCAGTTAACAATCCTATGTATTACTTATTAAATCATCATCATCATCATCATCATCATCATCATCATCATCATCATCATCACAATACCTGGGGACAGCAGAATAGAAGAGAAAGAACTGGAGAAAATCAGAAGATACAAAGACCTGCAAATAGAAATACAACAATTGTGGCAAAAGAAAGCCAACATAGTACCAATACTAATAGGCACCTTGGGTGCAATCCCAAAACATCTGGAGCACCACATGAACATCATCAACATTGATAAAATCACCATCAG